AAGCATGTAGCACCTTCCATTCTACAGTGTCTGAATGTCTTAGGTATCACTCAACCAGGCGCTTCCAAAATCTCTAGTGTCGTGCAGCATCCTTCCATTTGAAGAAGAGCCATGAAACCAGTCCCGTCCCCCGCACCATCTTTCTCCTTTGGATACAGTTTATACCATATAATGTTTTGTTGTGCTGCTTTACTTCCTGAACACATGTGGGAAGAATGTGAACAGAACACCCAAGGGAACAGGCTGCATAATTTGCAGGTTTGTGGCAAAGCAAGAACGTGGGAGGAAGACACCTGTTAGTTATAAGGAATGAAATCCTGTCCTTTGTAGGAGAATGAATGGAACTAGGAACCCATCAGGTTAAGTGGAATTAGACTCAGAAAGTTAAATATCACATGTTTTCTCTTATATGAGAGACCAAATAAATAAGTCAAACAACAGATGACACGAGGTAGACTTCTGTAGATGGGGAAGGGGACCAGTGAGAAGAGGTAGGAAAGGGTGAGGGATTAAAGATAATCACGGTTATAGTAAATGCACGTACCAGCTTCCCAAAATGAAACCCACATGCATTAATACTAGTACCCAAAACAGAAGCAACTGTGTGTCACACAATAACCTGGGCCTCTGTTGAGCGTAGGACTTTGTGTTGTGCCATCAACTGGGTGTTCTGAAGCTGGCCTCACTATGTAATGTGACACTTTTTTTTTTTTTTTTGAGATAGGGTTTTGCTGTTCTTATAGTTCAGTCTGTTCTTGAACTCATTCTGTAGCCCAGGTTGGCCTCAAACTCACAGGGATCCTCCTGCCTCAGTTTTGCAAGTTTGAGGATGACAGGTGTGTACCACTACACCTCGTTACAAATCTTTCTTTCTTTCTTTCTTTCTTTCTTTCTTTCTTTCTTTCTTTCTTTCTTTCTTTTTTTGTGGAACCGGGGATTGAACTCAGGCCCTTGCGCTTGCCAAGGAAGCGCTTATTCTACTGAGCCATCTCCCCGGCTCCTACAAATATTTCTTCACTGAGATTTTCCAACAGAAAATCCTGTGTTCATTAATTCACTGTGGTTTTAGTTTAAGAGAGGGTGTGGGTGTTTCTGCCTTTTCAGATGCCCGCTTACAAGATCAGAAGCACATTTAAGACTACTTTCATGCAAACAGATTATAAATCAGGAAATGTTTTTTATGAGCCCATGTTTTGCTGGGTGTGGTGATGCATACCTGTCGTCCAAGCACTCAGGAGGCTGAGGCAAGAGGACTGACATGAGTTCAAGGCCAACCTGGCCTACAGAGTGAGTTCAAGACTAGCCCGAACTGCTGGTAAGAGTGAGATCCTGTCTCAAAT